AATACTGGGAATGCAGTGCTCCCTACACCAAAGCCTGCATCAGGGCTTTACCAGGTAATACTGGGAATGCAGTGCTCCCTACACCAAAGCCTGCATCCGGGTTTTATAAGGTGATACTGGGAATTCAGTGCTCCCTACACCAAGGCCGGCATCAGGGCTTTACCGGGTGATACTGGGAATGCAGTGCTCCCTACACCAAGGCCGGCATCAGGGCTTTACTGGGTGATACTGGGAATGCAGTGCTCCTTACACCAAAGCCTGCATCAGGGCTTTACCAGGTAATACTGGGAATGCAGTGCTCCCTACACCAAAGCCTGCATCGGGGCTTTACTGGGTGATACTGGGAATGCAGTGTTCCTTACACCAAAAGCTGTACCTCGGTTTTAAAGTATGTATTTGTATGTTACTGGCTCTTGGCTACCGTCTCTCTTGGTCAAAACGATACATTGTAGCTGATGTCCCTCAAAAAGCATTTCAGATAAATTTGGGATTTCCCTGTTAAATGCTTCTGCAAATATAATGGACCATCTGCTTTAAGTTCCTTGCAATAAGTTAACTATTATTATTGTGTGTTTATTTTCCTTAATTGTGCAGAGTCACGTGATGTCGGAGTGTGGACCTCAGGGTGGATTTATGTGCCGCAACGGTGGCTATCAGGACCATTACTGGCCTTCTAGTACCTGCATACCTGCACTGGGCCTACTGGCCGACCCCAGAATCGTGCCCTTCACTCTGATAAGTGACTGCAGAGCCCGGGGTGGGATCGTGGCTGTCGTGTTGTGGAACCGTCAACCGGAAGAGGTGGCGTGTGCCCTTTGCTTGGGGGGGGGATCCGCGGCCCCATCGCCAGTGTCAGCCCACGCCACTGCGGCTTGGCCTCCCGACTCGCTTCCCGCGCCTCGAGGCTCACGTCTCACTCTGGCTCCCGGCCCAAGCGCTGATGGTCGCCTCGCTGCCTCGGCACTAAGCGCTGATGGTCGGCTCGCTGCCTCGGCACTGACCTGTGGCTCAGCTGCTGGTATTCTCTTCCCAGAGCTCACGACTCCGAAGCTCATAATGGCATGAATCCACGTCATATATGCATTTCCATACATCCATCCATCCATACATACATACATACATATATATATATATATAT